TCGAGAACGACGTCCATTGCGCTTGAGAGGGTACGCATCTTGGGCATCTGTTAATCCACCGCAACAGCTGCTGCTCATTTGTCGGATCCAGTCATTTGCTCGGTGGAAATCCAGTCTGTGTATCAACCGAACTCAAACTGTCTTATATTTGGCGTGTACGCATTCGCGGCCTGCTTCATCTCTTCCATTAGCTACTGGACTGAGTGAATAATGCTCCAACCAACCGAAGTCCTTGTTGACTCGTGGCGTTCACTTAGCCTTAAATAACCATCGACGTCATCTCCAAACCCTCATTCCGTCTATGGCTATCAATGAGCAGTTGCCTTCTGTAGCGGCTACAAAGATCATGAAGGATGTTTGCTGCGAATGTCTGCCGAACGACAGTCGCTGCTCAACCAAGTTGTGCCCATGTTTGTCGTCCGGTAGCCTCTGTGAGCGTCGCTGCGAGACCGCCAGATACCGCTGCGATTGTCTGAACCAAGCCATTGGTCGATGTCGCTGTGACCCAACTGCTACTGACCTCGACAAACTGTGCTGCGGAGGTCACAAACTGACCACTGGCCGAACAGGCGGATGTGAATGTCGTCTGATCAATGAAGCTTGCACGAAACTTTGCTTGTGCAAAAGAGCATGCAAAAACGTCGAGGTAGGTTCAAATTATGCATACTAATTAGAAGTTTCACTACCGTGCATATGAACAAAGTGAAGTTTTAATTATACACAGCAAACGACCCGTTCCTGTGTGAAATGAAAACTTTTCTCCTTATTCATATGATTTTCACAGCAGCGCGTTTCCTCGAGCTTATTCTGTGTATGGATTAAAATAACGTTGCATCGATATTAAAAACATTACAAAGAGCATCACAGTAAACAACTTCAGCACATCTGCTAGCAAAATTTCATTGCCCTGTATGAGAGTTTCTTTTGTTTCTTTAACCTTATTAATTACTATATTCATTAAACTCTTAAGGTTTAATGCTTACCAAATTCTCCACGTTGCTTTCAAGAGGTCAGCTTTAGACATGATAAACTGTCGGTCAAAGAAAGCCGAAAGGATACTCAACAAAGTCATAAATAAAAACTTATTACATCGAACCTGAAAATTATAAGCAACTTCACTTACATGCAAGAAAACCGCCAACAGTCGAAGAATTTCTTTAAGCAGCTATAAACATACCCTTACGGTTCAGTCAACCACGGAAGTGGATACAATTTTACCCTTGAACGTGCGGTGACACCGTAAAGTGGAAACCACTTTAGGCTTGGAGTCGATACTTCGATTATGTCTGATACAGTTAGAAGTGGTCCACTCTCTGTTGTGAAACAAACTATGTCGTAAAGCATGCCGCTCCTACAGCTGTTCATATATTTTCAGTGTCATTAACATATCATTGCAAAGTTTCTCAAAAATGCTTAAGGCTCTGAACACATTTGCAAAAAACTTCGAGCATACTTCACACAGTAGAGGCAACCTGTTCTGATGGATGTCTATTCCTCCTAACAAGAGTAGGCAAAAGATTAATGACACAAACAGAAGGAATAAAGCGTAACAAAATCGAGGGACGCTCATATAACTGTTAAGCATTAGCTTCAATCAAGTATGTAGCTTTGTTGATGTATTTCGATAACCTGATAATAAGCTTCACCATGTGTCATATCCGAAACTGATGGTTTGTAGCCGCTGTGAAGCTGACCTCCTTTACGCTACAATGGCGGGTGCAATTTGTGACC